CGAAAATTCTTGTTAAAAACAAAAAAATAAGACATTGTTTATGGTATAAGAAAAAAAAATAGTTTTGTTTTTGTGTGTTGTAGTTGGTTTTTATCAAGGAATCTTCATTTCTTTGACTTTTTTTTATTAACACTATACTTATATATAGCTATAATATTGTATAATTCGAATTTAATTCGTGCTCATATATATATATATATATATATGTACAATAAAATTATTATTATCATTCTAAAATAACCAATGTTACATAATTCCGATTACAATTTAATGTAGTTGCCATGTGGAGAATACAAGATTATTATATAATATTTTTTTTTTGAACATCTTTTGTGCGTTCCAACTAAATATATGTATGTCCTTATATAAAATGAGGGAGATATTAATTTTAAGTTTAAACAATTACAATATTTAAATAAAAAACTAAAATTTATTTGTTGTATTTAAATAAAAGGTAATCAGATTATTATAATATGTTTTACTTAAATATTTTATATTTTATTTTATATTGTTATATGTTGTCAAAAGAATGTGAAACTGAAAAATTATTATGATATTGACACGATATTTTTAATATAAAAAGAATAAAGAAATTCAAAGATGACCAGGTGAATTTTTTTAAGATGACCGTATAGACAAAACGGATCTTTATCTACATACATACATATATATTTTTGCAATATTTTATCCTCACATTTAAATTTTATTGTGAATTTATTTTTGTTTTTTTTTTTTCTAGAAATTCAATTTTAATTTAATTATGATAAATTAATTACATTAAATTTCTGACCTTAAAGAATTATTTTATAAGTATATAGCCATATAGCATGGCTATTTAATTTTAAATATTGACATAGTGATAAAAAATATTAAAAATTACGGATTAGTTAAAACGGGGTATGAGTCGAAATCAAAAGTTTCTCAAAAATTATAAGGAGTTTCAGGTTTACAATATGACGTTTAGCTTCCGGGTGGTAATATTGCATGTAAAGAAATTATGAAACAAATTAAGAAATTACTCTCTTGGAGAGAATTTGTTGTAATTAGAGTTTGTCACTTCAAATTTAATTCAGGTAAGTATTTTTATTAAGTATTTTTCTTTAAATATAAATATAAAACCCGTTCTTCGCTTTTATTAAAATTTTTTTTTAAGGTTTTCCTGATTTTCGAATCACTATGACTTAAAACAAATTATTTAGTTAAATCTTTTTCCGGAGCATTCATCTCAATTGGATCTGAACACTTCTCTTCGAATTGAAGCAAAATTTTGTTTGATTATAAATTTGAATACAAAGAAACTAAATATTGTGATGCATATCTTGATTTTATGAGTCGAATTAAGCAGTTTCACCCAATAGCCAAAGAAATATGTAGAAAAAAAAGCATTATTGATTAATACAGTTTAAGCTAATTTTATTAAATTTTACATTTTAGATTATAGAAAGTCATACGAGTATGTGTCATTGACTTAATATGTGGGTTCCCTTTTGTACAATGCAGAGGATTAAATAATGTTTATAAAACATGGTATTAAAATTATAAATATAATTGATATAATTGCATAAATATGATAATTTAAAATAAATTTCAAAGAATACACGAATCAAACACTAAAATTTTTACAAGTAAAACAAATGTAAGGTAAGAGTATTAAACAGTTCACACGGAATCTGATAATTTACATATTTATTTTAAAGAAATATTAAGAAGTCGCGTAGAAAAATAATTAATAAACTAAAGTCAGTACGAGAAAATTACAAAAATTTTAAAATAAAGCAAAGACTTTAATTCTAGTATAATTTTATTGTTCTGCTTACTTTACCTGAATTTATATCCACTTGCCGATGAATAACAAATAACTTCAAATTAATTTTATCATTGTTAATGGTTAGAAATGTTACCTAATTGCCGCTATACTGTAATACTCATTAATGCAATCTACACTATTTCTTAACTTCAATTTTTAGTATAACACATATTTTTCTTAAACTAATTTTAAGTTAACTAAATTTACTACAAAAAATTAATTTAATTGAAGATTTTGAAAGAAATTTTTCAATACATTTGAAATTCAAATATAAGAAATCCGAGCGAAAATCGAAATATAGACTCAATCAGGTGAATTTTTAATATCAATAAAATAAAATCGCTTATTATAAGTAAAATAATAAAACTGACAAAATTACGTGACTTCTTTCTCAATCGTTTCTGATGCAGAAAATGCATTTTATTCATTTACAAAATGTATAAAGAAAAAATTAAAAGCTAAAAAATTAATAAATTAACATAAAAAATACAGGCATAAAAATCCCATATCATCGATTACTGATGGGACGATCATAATTTCTTTTTCGAAAACACGTACGAAAAAAAAAAATCAACCTTGAACTTCTCATTTGTATTTTATTGTCCACAAATACCCACTATAAAAAAAGAATCAACTTGCTTTAGAAAGGAATTTTTTTTTCCATAAAGTTTATGACGACAATTTTAAAAAAAGAGTCATATAAAAAATACGTTGATGTTACAATGCTAAAGTTATTACAAGTGCGTCTGCAGGTGATTTTTAAAATTTTTGATTTTTTTTTTGTTATTTTTACAAATCAACTTTTGAAAAAAAGCTTTCGTTTTCTATACACCTAGATCACAATGTTAGACAAAAAAAAAAACTTGACGACGCACTTATACTGCAATTTTCAAGTGACATATGAATTAAAATACCGTTTTAAATAGTTGCGGGAGGGGCTCAGACTCGCCATCTCATTTGAATCTGGTTTTTTTCTATTTAAAATATTTTTTTTTTTCTTTATACTATTTTTGTTCCATTGTTAATATCTAAATATTAACTTAAATTTTAATATTATTAAAACCAAAACAATCATTAAGAAAAAAATTATTTCATATTAAAAATTTTTTCCAATAACAAAAGCTAAAGAAAAAGTAGGAAAAAACTCCCAAAAAAAAAAGAATAAAAATATTATGAAACATTAAAATAGAAAAACAAAATTTTCAAATAGTTGTTCTTGGAAACTATTGGAATAACTGGAACACATAAAAAGAAAAATAGCGAAAAGATTGAAAGTTCGGTTGAAACTTGCCTTCATTTCAAATCTATTGATAAAATAATTCTGGTTTTACGGGAATGTGATGAAAAAAGTTAAGTTTTTTTAAAAGCATCATAGAATACTTTGAATTACCTTAAAGTCATCACGCAGTTTATAATTTATCATCTGGAACGTCTACCTATTGTCCATCTATTTAAAAAACTTTTACACTGTTCAAAATATAAAAATAGATTCTAGTGAAAGCATCCAATCTCCCTCTTACCAAATTTTAGCTTAAGTCTTTAAATATAAGTCGGAATAGCAACTGCATCCAAAATAAAAGCAATCTCTAAATTCTTTATGTGCAGAAGATTTTTTATAACTTTATCATTCTCCCTTAAAATATGCAAATTGTTACATCTCCCTTAAACCATCGCACTTTTGTTAAAAGCAAAAGCGTTACAGTAATGAATCTCTTACTCTTAATCATTCTCTTATTTTTATACTACATAGTATTTAATTTTGGAAAATTTTCATTTATCAAAAATTTATCTTAAATTATTTGATAAACAAAAAATTATTTCAGTAGAGTGTTTTCATTAAAAATAGAAAACTTAACTTAAATTTTTTAAGGGAAATGTGCATTTCACAAAACATTGGTTAAATTTACCTCATTTTTCATATTAAATTTTTACTATTCCATTAAATTAGCTAATATATCTTAATTGTTATACATGATTATCTCAAATTACTCGAAAAATTTTGCGAATATTTATTTCGCTTTCCCACAACACGAACCTACTCAAAGAACATTTCCTTAAATAAAATTCAAACTTCCCATTTCATTAACTAATCACAGCCTATTCTACTTTTTCAACAGCCTTAAAACCATGTTATAAACGTAAATATTAAAAGAAAAAACTGTTATACATTAACATAAAAAATTAAAATTTACTGGCCGGTTACTGTAATAAAAATAAATAAAATAGAAAAAAAAAATAAAAACAAAAAGAGCATGCTTTAAATTATGATAATAATGAACGATAAAGCTTAACCGCTGATGATGATCAACACCACCACCGCAGCAGCAGCAGCAACAGCAGCACCATCAAGAAAATATATACCAATAGCATTCATTCATTTTAGAGTGTAGAAATTATTAATTTGAAAAACCAAAAAAAAAAAAACAAGAAGCAAGAAAGAAAAAAGAAGAATAAAAAAATCAGCAAAATAAATTTTGCAGAACACAAAATTCAATACAAAAAAAAAAGAAAAGAAAAACTTAAAAGTAAGAAAAACAAAAAACAAAATTTATATTGGTGCTGCTGTTGCTGATGTTGCTGATGTTGCTGTCTCGTTATCATATCGTTTTGTTTCTGACTCTCAAATCTCCGTTTAGTCTTTATGTTAAAAAAAAATTTTTTTTTTTTTTCTTTCTTATTTTTTTTTCAATTTTTTTCTTCTTATTTTTCTTTTATGTTTTTCTTTTTTTAGTAGGTAGCATCTTCAGTTCATGGCAAACGTCTTTTTTGTGGTATATAAAGAAAATGTGGCGGAAACATTTTTTTAGTTGGTGTCCATAGTTCTGATCTTGAGTTTTGATTAATATTAAAAAAAAAAATAAAACGATAAAATTCGAATCAGTGTTTCTTAAGATTAAAAGGTTGAACACAAAAACAAAACCGAAAAGGATAAAAAATTTTTTTGTTTTATACAAAAAAAAATTATCCTTTTAAGGATCAACTTTTTTTTTTTTTATTTTATGAACAATTTTGAAAAAATTAAAACTTTTGTGATATAATCTAGAGTTATAAACATTTATAAAGAAGAGCAAAAGCAAAAAGAATAAAAAAAAAACTTTAAAGGAACATTAACAGAGAAAAAAAACATTTTCGAATTTTTTACCGTTAATTTATAAAAAAAAAATACAATTGTTTTTTGGTGTGATAAGACAAAAAAGAATTAATTTTAATTTTTGTTTTATTAATTGGGAACATTTTTTTTTTTCATTTAACAAACATCTAAAGGATTTGATTTGAATACTGGATTTATAAAACCATATTTTGTGTTTTACTTTCAATTTTAAAGTGCTCATAATGGTGAGTTTAAAGGTTTAATAAAAAAAAAATTTTTAAAGTATTCTGAAGGAATAAAATAAATATTTAATTTTTAACCATCAATTAAAATCAGTAAATTATTAATAATATTAAAAAACAAAAAATAAAAAAATTTTTGGAATTACAACTTTTGTTGAGAAACATTAATCAACCAACATTTTTGTATATAAATGTTGTTGTTAAACCACGCATATTTTTTCACTGTTCAAATAATCATTAATATAAAATATAATTATGTAAATAAAAAATATTATGAAAAATAAATATTTCGGAATAAAAATATACATATATATGCAAATACTCTTGTATTCTATTAATTTTCAGTAAAATACTAGTAGCAGCAAATGAATAATCACGTACAATAAACATTTTTAAGCACGTCTACACACATTTATACTTTATATACTTTATATTTGAATTATTTAAAAATCAAATAAAATTAAAAGTAAAAGAGGAAAACAAATACAACAAGAAAAAACAAAAATTTTTTTATAATATTAATGACAATTTAAACTGTTGGAATGTGTACATCATATTACATACATATGTATACATACATACTTACTTAGATTTATGCAAATATTGACAATGTTAATATTAAAATCAATAATTTTTTTTTCTTTTAGTATTTATGTAGAGAATAATAATATTTATTTGACAATAATATTATTCTTTTTTTTTTGTTGCCAGATTGTTTGAGATTTCTATTAAGATTTCAATAGAATTTTATGGATATTTTTTAAAGTAATTAGAATAGTATTACAATATTCTTGATATTTTTCAATTAATTTTAATTAAGTTATATCAAATTTAATTGACAATTTCTATAAATTTTAATGTAGATATTTTATATGAAGTTTTAGGGAAATTATACGAGATTTATACATGCAAAATGAATTTAGAATTGAATTTTGAATTTTATATTGTCAAATTAAATGTATACAATAATATAATTTTAAAATTTGAACAAATTTTCAATTTGTATGTTACAATTTTAAAGAAAATATGATTTGAAGCTCATATTTATGATGCAGTTTTGAAGCCTATTCAAGCTATTTTCTCATTTATTTGCCAACATTTCTAACAAAATTAATATTTTTAAGGTTTTTTTTTTAATTTAAAGGTTTCTGAATATCAAATAATTTATGTAATACAAGAAGCTTTAACAAAGAAACTAAAACTAATCGTTTTGAAAAAAATTATACTAAAATTGGAAAATTTAATATTCGAATCCGGAATATTGAAATTTAATATTTCGAAATTAAGCATCAATTCACAAGTGAAATATCAAGTGAAAACGAAAAATTATGTTATTCTCACTTTAAGTTACGCTTCTAAGATTAACCAACACTATTTTAATTCCCTTTTCTTAATTTTTTGTACTAAGATTCGGCTACATATAATTTACAAATTAAATAACGAAAAAAAAAACTCAATTTTTTTCTTAAACTACCTTTACTTAACGCTATAATCCTGCATTTAACCATTACCTTTAATAATTAAAAATCAATATTTTATTATATTTAAAATTACAAAATGTAATTAAAATCTGGTTTTTTTTTTCATATCAAATTATTGCATTATTTTAATTCTTTTATATATAATATGCTCAATAACATTTTTATAACGAATTTTTTTCTCTTACATATGCATAAATATTGCAACAAAGTATTAAAATATAAACCTATGATTAGAGTATTAAAATAAAATTTATGCAATTTTTTTTATTTTATATCTTATAATTAAATTTTAATGTAAATTTAATAATATATTTTGTTGTATGTATAATGATGAAGATTTTAGATTATATATACATATTTTATGTATGGCAACACTTTGTAATCATCTCTTTTTTTTTTTTTGTTAGTATGCTTATTAATTTTATCCACCGGCTATTTTGTTGTGCTTATTTTTTCATATTATGCTCATATATGCTTCTTATTTTCTTATATATACTGAGTCTAATAAATTTGTTAAGAAGATTTTGTGTATTTTTTTTTTTTTTTGGTTTGGTTTGTATCTACTTAAAAATTTAATTTCTTGTAACAATTTATCTTAACCGTATAAATATTAAACCGTTTACTTCTACTCCGCCCTTCTCTCAAATTTTATTCTCTTATTTTATGCTTTTTCAATGATTTTTTTTATGCTAATAGATCGCGCTTTAATCGATTTATTTGAGAATTGATTATTGTGAGTTGTGTTTTTTGAAGTAAATTTAAATTTTTAAAAATGATTCTTTATTTATTTTTATTTCTTTTATAATTTTTGTACAGGTTATGTTGAAAAATTGGAATTTTCATGTTTAAATTTAAGATTGAGAAAACATATAAGAAATATGATTATCAAAAATGATTAAATTTCTGTATATAATGTTAAAGATGTACAAACAAAAAATAAAATAGAAAAATATTTAAAAAATTCTTTTTGGTTAAGAAAAAAAAAACAAACAAATTGAGTTTTTCTTGTCTATTTGCGGTTTTTTTATTTTAAGTAAGAGAATTAAGTTAGAAAAACCGCTAACAGGCACAATAATAATTACAATTACAGATTGGAACCTGTAAATGGCAGAATTTTTTTTTATATATTTTTTAATCATTCAAATATTTTAAATTTGCAAATTTTATTTAATGATGAAGATTAACTAAATTGCATACATTTTGTGACATGAAAACTTCAAATGAATTATTCTTTTTCAATTTAAAATCTAAATAATACAATGATTATTGTTATATACTCGGTATATAACAGTTATACTGCAATTATTTTCAATAGAATACAAAAAAAAAAAAAATTTTAATAAAAATTAAAAAAGGAGAAAAAAAATTCAAATCAAAAATTTTTTTTTAACTATTTTTCTTTTTGTTATGCGTTAAAAAAAAAATTTTTTTTTTGAGTGAATTTGCAATTAATGATGACGGCGGTTTTTGATGGCATGTTTAGTAGCACTTAAATGTGTGATACCACTTTACATTTATATAAAAAAAAAAGCAGTTATAATACTAATGATGATGATGATGATGATTATGATGATTATTTTAAACCAATAATAGTATTTATTTTTTTCACTTTCATAGTATAAATCAAATTGAGTTTTTTCGTCTTTTGAAGGCGTCAAAAGATTAATGATCTTAATTGAGCAATTTAATAAGCGCTTTATTTTTTTCTACTTATTTTTTTTTTGGTTTTATTTTTTGTTTTGATATTATAATAAGAAGGCTTACCACAATATAACCAAGAAGAAAGAAGATTTTTTTCTTTTCTCTCTCTCTCTCTCCTTTTTCTCTTCTTAACATAATTTATTGTAAAAAAAAAATATTGCTTTAGGGTTATTCGGTTGATTTGTTTACTTGAGGTTGGAATAGGTTATGGTTGATTTGATGTGCGAAAAGAGTAATTTTTTTTTTCGTTTTGTTTTTCTTTTTATGAAATTTTATAGGTCAGTTATGAAATTTAAAAGAAAAAAAAAGTGGGTATATAAGAAAGATAATATAATTAAATTATTCGAAAAATTATTTGAATATAATTTAATTAATTAGGGTGAGCTTAATTTTTAAGTTTTAAAATAATTAAAAGGAATTTTTGTATTGTAAGTAACTGCAATATTTTAATATGAAATTTGAATTTAAACTATAACTTTTACTCTAGTATTTTATTTTGAGCGAAAGCAAACAGAATGAAAGAAATTTTAACGCATTTAAAGTTATTTTATAAGGTGTATCTATTCGACAGGGTGATCATATAAAAGTAATCAATTAAAAATTTTATAAAAATTGTAATCTTGAAACTCACACAACTATTGAAATCAATGAAATCATAGTTCTAATGTACTTGCAAATGATATTATCTAAGTAATACCAATTCTTATTACTCATTTTAAAATAACTCACTCGATCTAGAAATTACACAAACTAATATAATATAATATTAAATATTTGAAATAAAACTAAATCATTTCAATCTTAATTTAATGGAAAATAATAATGAGAATTGAAATATTTTTTTGTAATAAGCTGAAATCTTTTATATAAACATAATATTTTAAACGAAAATAACGAGTAATATAATAAATTGTACATTTTCCGAAATTTTTATCACTTTAAATATATTAGATGAGTAAAATTCTTATATGAAATAAAAATTAAAGATGACATTGAATAAATTATAAAATTGTTTTAATCAATCAACATAAAAATTTAATTATGAAGTCTTTTAATACAAAAATACAACATACAAGCATAAATAAGAAATGAAGCAATCAATATGGAAACAAAAAAAAAAAAAGAATTTTCTAGAAACAAGAGAGAAAAAACTTCAAAAATTCGACCTTGAAAATTATTATGTATTTTAAAATATTAAATATTAATAAACATAAAGTTTTATAATCAAAATGATAAAATCATTTTACCATTTATAAAACTAAAGAATTTATGTTTAATTCCGGTTTAATTCCTTTAAAACAACAAAAAAAAAAATAACAAAAATTATTGATAATTAACATAAAATTAAAAAAATATTCATTTTGCTCATTTTATTTTTGTTTTTATAAACATTTTTAAAAGGATTTAAAACAATAATGGTACTCAATTTTTTTTTTACAGGAATATGAACAAGCATCAATAAAATAATAAAGTTTTTTAATTTATTTCTTTTTTAATTTAATATTAATATTAAAGAATATTATAAGAAATAAAATTTGCAAAAAATATCAAAAAATTTTTGCTTATCAAATTGGTCTTTTGTTTTCAAGTAATTTTCTTTCTTTTGTTCAACATAAAATTATTAAATTTAATAGTTTCTTAAGTGCTTGTTTTAAAGCAAAAAAGTAAAATTGAATTTTTTAATTTATCACCTTAAGAAATCAAGTAGTCAAATAATAAATTTTGTATTGTTATACAAAAATTATAACGTTCTATACGAATTTCTGGCATGAAATCAAAATTTTCCAAAATTAATTTAAACGGAAGAAGATTAAGTAGGTA